CAGGGTCTGCTGGTAGATAAGGGAGATGAGATCACGAAAGAGAGGGGAGACGGCTTGTGAAGCCGAAACAAACCGGTCGCTGGTGGAGGTGGCAGAGGACTCGAGCAGCCGATACTGGGGAAGAATCCCGCATATGTTCTTGTCGCCGACGGGGTTCAGCGAAGCGGTTGCTGAGTTGGGGCCCCGGAACTGAGGCGCGAGCAGAGGCGACGGCATGGATTCCTCCCGCGCCCGCTTCCTGGAGCCGGAGGCATTGCACGTGAGCTCACTCTGCGGATCGGTGAATACCGTGGCGTTGTTCAACATCAGCTGCTGCTTGCCGGCGTGCCCTGCAACAGCAAATCCCAGTCAGCGATTCCATTACCACACATCACAGTCCTTTATCGAGAGCCGGAATGGGTCTCTCACCTTGGTCAAGGTTGCTCTGGAATTGCAGGGGATCGCGGTAGCCTCGCATCATCTGCAGGTCATCGAGCGTACTCTGCCTTGCTCTGCTATGTAGCAGGAGGGAGTGTGTGAGGAGCAGCAAAGACCAATCTTTCTCATACGGTAGAGAGGGGAGAAGAAGCGTCGACGGCTCATCGGCTGCCGAAAGCGTTGGAGGGGTTGTGCACTTGCACGGCCATCGGCAATCCACGACGAGATCGATTGCTATGCGCGTTGGGCGAAATGGCGTGAGAGGCGTATCGGCGTGCCATATATATAGAAAGCTTAGCTATATGTATCGACAGAGATGGAGGTGAGTGGGAGGTGGACACGTGTGCAGTGGAGGGCAGGGTAAAAGGAAGACTACATGACTCGGCGCGGGGCGTTCGCGTCCTCGAGCGCTGCAAATGTAAATGCTGCAACGGACGGTCAAACCCAGCGCGGTGGACGGAGAGACGCGATGCAAGCTGCAGCGAGGAGACCCTCCTCCGCCGTGGTAGCTCTGCCCTCTCGCGGACCGCTATTGCCGGTCACGTGTTCGGGAAAAGTACCGACCGAGGTGATATTTCTTTTGTGGGGGAAAGGGAACGAGATGCTGATGCCTCGCCAAACGCGCAGCGACGACGGGAGCGGAAGACTATCCACATCCAGGCCAACACCAAAAGCATGGGATCAGTAAGAGACGATAAAAGCGTGCGCCAACTGTTCGACGAAATGGAATCCGATTTGACGGGGTTTTGAAGTCGTGATGAGTCGGTCGTCCGGTCCTATGTGGCGTATCATCTGCGGTCCCTTTAATACAGACAGGAAGAGTGGGGGACGCATTCCCATGGGAATAACGTGACCCTCGTAAAGAGAAGGCATCGCACTCTGTCCCGCTGCCCAGGACGCTGTCCTGCTGTTGGTGGGTCGCGTCTCTTGTGGGCGTGCATCGGGAGCAGTAAACTTCCACTGCCCAGCGGATGCGCTAAGGGGAAAGACCGCCACGGCAGAGAAGGAAAGAGAGAGAAGCCTTCATTTCTCTGCAATTTGCCGGACGATGCATCCCATGTGAGACACGGACTTGAAGGTCTCGCATGTCTAGGTTCTCAGATCTCTGGTCCGATCTCCACGGGAAGATGACATCGAACGGGACATTAGGACGGCGTAGCGTCTGTGACACGGTGCGGTCAGAGCTACTTGGACTTTTCTGTGTCGCAATGCCCTGTAGGGTGGGGCATCAAATTGATTGGATTGTGTGTTGGATTAGGGAGGGATCTGACGAGAGAACAGTCGGTCAACTCCACATGATTTCAATATTGGAGGCGCAGTAGGTTTCCACGAACGATACTAACGTGTGTCTGTTTCAATTCCACGCCTCCGCATGGTTCCAAAAACATTCCTTGTCGGTAATTTGCAGGCCGCGACAGACGGATCCAACGTTGAAAACTATGGCTATAAACGGGTGGAAATGGATTTAGACGTCCGAATCTTTTTGTGTCCCCCAACATATCACAAGTCACGGAAACGGGCGTGAAGATGCATAGATCTGTTGCCGACGCACTCATTGTGTGCACGGATGTCTTCTTGGAAACTTGGTGACGTTTATCTTCGATCCGTTCTCCTTTGGCTCGTATGGTCATACTCTCTAGCGTGATGATAAGATCTTAATAGAAGATTAATTGCAATCGTTGTAGATCCAAATATACCTGTCACTACACGAAGAAAAGTGTCTCGTCCCGAATTTATATAAAAAAAAATTAATATTTTATTATTCATAATTTACATAATAAACTTTCTCTCTTTTTTTTTTCATCTTTGAATTCAAATAATTATCTTTATAATAATAAATATTTTATTAACTAAAAAATAATTATATTTTTTTAATAGGGTCATCTTCCCACCCAAATTTCAGATCTATTACACAATTACTCTGAAAATAAATATAAGATAAAAACATATCAACAACCATACATGTTGGTAGGAACTTTATAAAAATCATAAAAATAATCTTCAATATTCATGAAATATAAATAAATATCAATAATTTAATAAAAAAATATATTGATTTATCATAAAACTTATGCACAAGAAAGATGATGATAATTTCTTACATAATAAAAAAAAATCATGCATTAGCCACATGCAACACATACAAAATAACCATATAACAAAGGCGTACATCACACCTGATGGTGCACTCTCCCAACAGCGAATGAAAAGACATACTACACGGGATGAATTCCTCCCAACAACTGATTGAGATAATCCATATCGCACTCCTAACAATGGATAGAGTGGTATCCCACACTCGTCAAGTGAGGATACGTTTCTCCCAATAACGGATGGAGGAACCGTCTAACAACCACGTTTAATGGCTCGCTAATCCCCGAAGGGAATCACCATACCTGCCCTCGGCAGGAACACATAAACATCCATGATTATTCATTACACTCATTCATTCACTCACACATACATCAAGAAATCAATATGATTAAATATTATGTGAGACCATACTTGATGTAAATCTATTAAACTGTGTTCATTGGTGGCTCTATACTGTGATGGGCCCGTAGCTCCTTTCACAGGTTGCGCTCCCAACGTGAACTACTAATCTAATCACAGCTACTACATAATATTAATCATATCAATATCATAAACATAAGAAAATAGAAAACCAATAGTCATTTTCAAATGACATCTTCAGATAAAACCTTTAAATTCATCAAATCATAAAGACATCAAACATCAATCTCTTAATAGTCCTTAATCAACCAAAACCCTAGTTGGAATATCTCAATTGACTTAAACCAAACTTAATTTGATTATGATCTAACGGAACCAACCTCAAATCCTTATAGAACAGGGAATCACCCTAGAATGGTCTAATTTAGATTTGATTAATCTCGATTAGGTCAAATAGGTTTGAACTAGTCAAGTTAGTTTTTAATCACCCTAAACCAGCTTTAACTGATCAAACCGATTTAGTCAATTAATAAGCTCAAACCAATATAGAGAAAATTGGACTATGTCGTATAGTGCTAACCCAAACTGAACTAACCCACCTGAGTCTTGGACGAGTTACATACACTGCATATACCTGTTTCAAGTACTAGGTTGAGTTGAGGTACGACAGGCTATATAAAAGGAGCGACAATATGTCTAATGCAAATCGTATAGTTATGCAGGCTGAACTTTATGGACTAGGCTAAGCCTCACTTATAAGTTGGGCTAAGTCTTACCATTGAATTAAGTCATTCTTAGCTCGTGAGTTGGTCCTAGACACATGAGTTAGGGTCGTATCTGATCATATGGACTAGGTTGTACATAGCCACATAAGCTGGCCCATGCCTGACCACATGGTTGGATCATACTTTACTACATGAGTTGGGTCATACATGATTACATAGACTGAGTCGTACCATGCCACGTGAGCTGGCCCATGCTTAGCCACATGGTTAGGTCGTACCTTGCTACGTGGGCTGGGCCATACATGGCCACATGGACTGGATCATACCTAGCCACATAGGTTGGGTCATGCCTGGTCACATGGGTTAGGTCGTACCTTGCCATATGGGTTGGCTCCTATCCGGCCATATTGTGTCACGCCGAGTCACATGGGTTAGGTTATACTTGGTCACATGCACTAGGTCGTACATGACCACATTGGCTGAGTCGATTCGATCTGACAGATCAACTTGACTCAAGTCAAATCCCAATTAGGCTCGTCTTATCAAATTAGATTTTAATATTTAAAATTATTAAAGAACGACTCAAATCCATTAATAAAAACTTTAAACTCATAATCTTAAATTTAAAACTAATTAATTATAGAAATTCACATATAATTCTTGAAACATATATATAACTAATTAACTAAATTAGAACTATTATGCTAATCTAAAAATAAGAATTTAATCAATATTAAAATTCACTAAAGCTTAACTTAAGAGATCAATATAAATCAAATAATCATTCTAACATCACAAAATAATTATCATTATTGAATTTCAAAATTAAAACATCATTATACATAAAAAATTATAACAATCTCTCTTTTTATATAGGAAAAGATGAGATCTCCGTAAGTAATAATTTAATTTTTATTTTTTATTTAATTTTCTTTTACTTTCACATACAAAGAAAATAATATAATATTTATTTCTTATAGTTTATACACAAAAATAGAATGTAAACTATTTTACTTCCTAAATATCAAATCATTCATTAGGAAATAAATTAATTAATAATTTAATTGATTAGTAAAATTCTTAACTTATCAATGTGATTAACGAAACTAAATTTAATTATTTTCTCAACTATAATACATAGATATAGAAATTAATAATAAAATAATACATCATTTATAGTAATTAATTTATGTTAAGTGAAAAATTATCGATGATTACAAAAAGAAACCAAAACTTCAATACCATTATATTAGCAAAATATGTCTGTTACCATTAACTTTCTTGACAACTTAAATAACCTTTTAATGGAGCAATTCATTGAACTATGTTTTGTCACTGCATCCGAGCTAGTTAGTGTAGTATTATTATATAAATGATAGATCTCATATCCCGACATGCTCTTTGGGCACAAGATATCATATATTTATTCCTCGTACCTCTTTAGTAATCTCTAGTGCAATGATAAAATCTTAGCAACTTGACTTTTGATACCAGAAGAGAGTAATTATTCTTACTTATCATCCCTTCACTCCACTATGGTAGCCAATCCGAATTCAAACGACACACGCACAAACTAATAGGAATCTTCATAAAGCATATGCTGCATTCCTCATATAAATCTTTAGCATCCTTCGAACTTCCTTCTCTCCTTGCATCCTTTATTCTTTCACATGGAAATGGCCTCCTATTTCACAAGTTCCACTTGAGATACCAAATCTGCAATGCAATGCTTTACATTCTAGGATTCCGAACATGACAAGACCCTCCAAGGGTTGTGATGCGGATGATGGGCGCGACCTAAAGAGTGCATGCAGCAATCTAATCAACTCCATCCATCACCTCGTGGATAGAGAGAGGATCCATACCTTAAGGGAAAAATGGAACGAACATGTGCGGCCAAGTGGGTGAGACCGACCAGTCCAGCCGCGCACTACACGCCCAACGACGTCGACCTCCCACCGAGCCACGATTGGTTTGACTTTGGGTCCTCGGGTGCAGGAGATTTGAGAAAGATCACAAGCAGAGGGTCATGTAGCCTGCAGTTTAATGAGAACATAATTTCAAGTTACGAGAGTCGATGTATATGATATACTGTACATCAGCTTAAGGAGGCCCATGGGCAGGCCTCCTCACTCCTTGCTGCATGCATGTCTCCCAGGAGCTGGCTGCATGAAGACAATCTGTCCGAGGAGGAGGAGGAGCAGCAGAAACAACCCACCGCTGACGGCAAGGCTTGGCTGTCGTAAGCTTTTCCACTTGATGAGGCATTGGCATCCCGTGAAGACAGGCAATCAAAGGGCTCGTGCCACTTTTCCTCCTCCTTTTGCACTGTGGATCTGTAGGAGTTGCAACTTTTGATCAGGAAGATTCGTTGTGGATAGTTTCACAGGTTTCTCGGGGCTTCTTGATGACAACAACCCATCCCTGGGTAAAATTGGGTAGGCCGTGGATGACTCCAATCACCTGCATGACATATTGCCATAGAATTGGGTGAAGTCAGTGACAGTAAGAGATCCACATCCTCTTCCAGCATATGTACTACATTTGTGATAAGTTCACGTAGCAAAAATATACACAAACAAACAGAGAGAGAGAGAGAGAGAGAGAAGCAAAATGTGGATGTCACAACTTAAGCATCACAAAAGTACCAAAAAGATGCCTCCTATAGTAAATCACATATGGATGTTTCATATTCTAAAACAACAATAAATAATCTTTAGTTTCCTCTACATTGAGCTAGTTCAGATTAACCGGGCAAACAAGTAGAGATTTGTCTTTCCCTGACAAACAAAGCAATAGAAAAATATTACAAGGAAAAGGAAAAAAGTATAAAGTCAACTTGAAAAATCCATGAGGAAGGAATTAAAAGAAATAGGTATAATGTAAGCAAGAACTTTTACGGGCGCCACTCGGACACATCAGACCTCATCTAGAATTGGTAAATTACGACGAATGATGAACATAGTGAGGGTTCGAATCATCATCCTTGTCGTAAAATAAGCATACACTAACTGGTTGGGTGTAAGCAATCATTTTAGCCAACTTCCACCAACCCTAAACCCACCAAGATCAGCAATCACAAAGGTGAAGAAAACATCGTCAATATCACACAGAAAGAGAAAAGTATAAAGTCTGTAAAATTCATACGAACAATAGGAAGAGACAGAGAGAGAGAGAGAATAAAGTACGCAGACAAACTAAAAGTATATAACAGCATCATCTTCTAAGCACAGTTCTAAAGAGAATAATCTAACAAATGCAAAGCATGAAAAGTAGTAAATATCCAACAAAAGTACGGGGAGAAGAAATCTTGCAATTACTTTGATTTCATCAAAAAATACTCTAACACAGGGCATCTCCGAACGGATCAAATCTAAACATTTCCAAATTTCAGAATGCTAGAAAACAGTTTTGAAAGAGTGGTGGGCTTTATGATGATAGAGAAGAAAAGAGTTGATTCATCAGTATCTCTTACAATCACTCATCACCCTCTATCTTTTCTTTCTATAATTTAGTGTATTAGATCTGTCTCTCTCTCTCCTTCCTTGTTAACCTCTAATGTATTAGATTATCATATTATCCCAGACACCAATCCAATAGTTTGAAGACAAATAAGTTCGAGTTTGACATACTAAAACTCTTCAACCAACTCCTTATCTAAACAAAATTCAACTTAATTTGCAACACAGAAATTATTACAACATATGAAAAGTACCTACAATATCTGTTATTTTTTGACATTTTGATCCACAACTAGACACTATTTACACTGAATAAGATTTTATTTTGACATGAATTTCCACTGGACTCAAACAATAAAAGTTAGAAGCATTAGTTTCAGAGAGTTGGGATAAAGAAATACCAGCTGCCAATTGCTTGATCAGAATACAGGCAATTCATTAATATGCTGGAGACAATCATCTTCGTCACTGAAAGCACTGCAAATTGAGATATTTCAACAAGTCATTTAGCAGCTGCAGTGATTGCATCTGAAGGAAAGATTAGACTTACATCCTGTTGCTTGGATGCAAAAAACACAAATTAATTCCTTGATTTCTTACAGTAGCTTTGTGAACCTGGAACAAGCAACAACAGACAAATCCACTGTGATCAGAACAGAGAGGGGCAAAAAACAAAAAGGGGAGGGGGGAGAAATATGAAGCATCAATTCAGTGGCTCACCCAATTCTTGGTTGTGATCAGATCAAGCAAGCACAGATCACAACACCACCTTTTTATCTTTTTTTTTTTTGGCTTTAGATCATTGAAACAGATCATATTTACAAGAACAACTAGTACACCCCAAGAACACACAGAACTCTCTCTCTCTCTCTCTCTCTCACCTCCATACATAAAAAGGGGGAAGCAGCGGAAGAATAGGGTTGGGTGGATGAGACAACAAAGATACCAAATTAAGAATCTCTCCAAAGCCATCGGGAATCGCCGATCCTCTTTGTGGTCACTGAGCTTCCACGGTAGGGGTGCGGGATGAGTTCACGGGTGCCGGAGGAGGAGGGATCGAGGTTGGGGAGGGCGGCGAGTGGCCGTGGGAGTTCGTCCTGTGGAGGCGGCACTTGAAGGAACCCGCATGGGTGGCGGGAGCACACACGCACTTGGGGATCGACCCGCCGGCGGCGCCCTGGCCGCAGGCCGCTGAGTTCGAGGACAACGCCCGCCGAACCCCGCGCGGTGACGGCCCCTGACCGCGCGGCGACGGCGCCTGGTGGTGGTGGTGGCCGTGGTGATGGTGGTAGTCGTGGTGCTGCTCGTTGATCTCATCGCCATTGGCCACGAAGTTAGATGCCATCTTTTTTAGTTTCTTTAAGGTTTCTTCAGATCTGAAGAAAAAGAAAGAAAGAAAGAAAGAAAAAAAAGGACATCAGAGATTTTAAATCAAATAATTATCAATAAATTAAAAATAATTAAACTGATTAGCGAGAGATAGCGACGTAAATAATGCAAAAAAATAATATTAAAAAAGGAGAAAATTATAGTGAGATTGGCTCCGCCGTCGCGCTTCAGGTTCTGATTTAGTCCAATTTTACACCAATTAAATCTAACAAGAAAAAACACTTAGAAAGAAGAGGAGGAAAACAAAGGGGAAATAAAACGAACCTTAAACAAGAGCGAGGAGCCAAATCGGCAAACTGCGTTCCACAGCACAATACTGCGATTTATAGAGCGGAGACGCCCATCACGGGCAGCACGGGCAGCACGGGCAGCTACCCGTCCCGTCCTCTCGGCTGCCCGGGATTCCTCCCGGCGCCCGCACACAGCCCCCCCCCCGCCCTCCACACCCACTGCGCCGAGGCTCCCCCTGTCTCGTCCCGAGCAGGGAACACCCTCTCGAGGTCGCAGCACGCCGACGTACTGCTTCCGGTGGGTCCCGCGCCTTGTTTTGTGATACCGAAGGCTGTTTCCTGTCTGAAGGAAGAGGGCAGCCTCATGCGGCCACCCGCAGCCCAAATCTCCCGTCTCACTCCAAAACAAACCGACCCGGGTGTGAAATGACGCAAATGCCTTTTATCTCTTAATGCGGGTTACTGCCACGGCTCCATTTTGGTTTGCGCGCGAGGGCGGGGCCCACGAGACGGGAGGCTACTAATTGCGTGCAGGTGTGGAAAGGCGGTTGGTGCAACATTTGGTGTGAAGCGCTTATCCAACCGGGGGGGCCCAATGCCCACGGAATCGGCCCACCGGTTTGGATCGACCTCGTGAGCCATCGGCTCGCCGAGACCATCGAGGACCGGTCGAGATCGATTCCATTTGCCGCTTGATGTAATCTGATCCGTTGAGCTGGAACTTTACGGGTCGAAACTCGACCCATGTGCCCTGCTCCCGATCTGTGTGCGTCAGGTGCGGGACCCGCGCTCTCGCTTATTGTTTTTTAACCGTTTGGGTAGATGGGGAGTCGCCGTCGTGGGCTCACATGTTTTTAGATAGAATGGTATATCGTCTCGGCGCGAGCCCCGTGTGCAGGCTGAATCACGAAACACGGGAGCCGAGATCTTTCATTGGTCGGAAGCTGCGGCTCCCACGGGTGCGAGCTCGCTGTTCATTCAAACAGCGATCCTTTTCTACGTTGGGTGGTCCGTCGGAGACGGGCGAGCAGTCGCGTGACTTCCGGCGAGCGAGGGAGGGGGCGACGAGGAAGCGTGTTGGACTCTGCAGCGCGACACGTGGGATGGGATAAGGCGGGGTTCGTCGCCGTGACGTTGTCTTCGCGAAGGACCAATTGTCCAAAGCCGGTACCACATGTAAAAGCGCGGCCCCACATCCGAGCCACCTTCTAGAATTACCCGCACCACACACTTCAATTCTTACCCCTCATCTGTGTCACCCGTCTCGCCATCTCATCTTGTTGTTTGGTAGATGGAGCGCACGTGGGACCACCAATAAAGCCGTAATAATAATAATAATAATAATAATAATAATAATAATAATAATAATAATGATAATGATACGGGGATATTTATGTGGAGCTGTAGCTGTTGCTGCAGGATGGAGATAGGCGATGACGATAGAAAGAGAGAGAGGCGTCGAAGCAGTACCCGTCCGTTCTTATCCGTCATCGGCCGCCACAACAAACACATACATTACCTCTTCAAGCTCAAAGCACTTGGGGTGAGCCGAGAGAGTCGAACCATGATTTTTTAATTCTGTTCTCTGGTCTTTACTCGGGTGACTTCTCCTAAAAAAACAAGTGACGTGAGGTGGATAATTGACTCGTGAGATGACATGTTCATCCTTACTCACTTGACCTTTACAGGAATCTCTCTCTCTCCTGCACAAGAAATGGTAAGATAAGCCGAGCCTAACTCGGTGGCTACGTCAAAGAAAAGACGTAGATGAAGTGATATCTCTTCTTGGGTCACGCAGAGGATAACTACGGGCGAGTAATCGTCATCTTGGAGGATAACTACGCAGAGGATGCAAGGTTTCTGTGACCTGAGCGAAGACGATCGCTGTCACCGACGAAAGATCCAGCGGTGATGAAGATTGCAGCATTTAAAACAAGATGGTCATTAAGAGTGGCATGTCGACACCTTCCACCATAGAAGGTTTGAGGGTAGCAGCCGAGCCCGGTGATGTTTCAGCGTCAAGATCAGTAGTGACCGCCACTGAGAAAACATCAGCAAATACAAGTGACAATAAATATATACAGTTTGATCTTGCTGTTTCAATTTCAGAGGACGAGGCATCATCTCAATCTTGATAGAAGATTATAATGACGAATAAAAATCATGATATATTTCAATTGCCTGTCTTTTACAATGCCAAGAAAAGGCCCAAAGATGGACTCTTCACAGGACAAAGGGAGGTCATATAACATCATAATGCCTACATCTAACCCGTCAACATGAAGAGAAACATAGAACACGTTCTGCAATTAATGTAGAGTACAACATGGTGGCAGTCTAAGAACAATACACACATCGGAGGCCACAGGAAAAAAAAATTGTGAGGCCGAGAGAGAGAGAGAACATGTAAGCATTTCTTATCCTCTTAGAACACATGCAATGATTCCAACAGTCCAACAAACCATGAAAAGAAATCCCAATGGATTAGCATTATGGAAAACAGATCACATACCATATCAGGAGCAGGATGAACCTGCTGTCAGAATAAAACTGGGGATGCATGTTCTCCGAGCAATTATTTAGAGCCCTTATGCAACTTGAATCCATAAACCTTTGGCACATAATGCTGGACCGTCATTGCAGATTTAGCTGAAGGATATGTCATCAAATAAAGGTGAGGAAATGTTGTGCCAATGTAAGCACCATCCATATCTGGACAAAGTGAAGGTATCATCATCCAACAATCCAATGAGCATTCAATCTCCATACTATATTTCATGGTGTTTCATTGATGCATCAACAAGAAAATTGAAGTAAGCAAGCATATGTATTTGACAAATCATCACAACCCAAATTACAGTGTTGTGTATGGCTAAAATTAACTGAGATATTATATGATGTCACTTGAGAGATAAAGGCACCACCCAAATGAGATTCCACACTTTCTTTTTCTCGATACTTTGTCCATTTGTTGCTAGATTATACTAGCCTATTCTTTGCCATCTAGCTACTTAAGCCCCTTTTCGCTCCTTTACTTCGTGTAATAAGGATTAAGCAAGCTTATATCCTGATCCAATAGCTAATATATAATCAGAGCTTCATCAGTACACTCTGTTCAGGTCATGCCTCTCATACCAATATGCATCAAAATGGCAGTATTACTGGAGATAAGGTTTTGAACCTTGGTCTTACAACCAAGTGTTCCTTTCCTCAATCTAGTTTCCCGGTATCGAGTCCTCCCCTTCGCCCCACCCCACCCCAACAAATAAAAAGAATGCATTCAGCGATTGAGTCCTCTAATTCCAGGCATAATACAGTGTAAAAAAATTCAAAAGTACTACATAAAGGATACCACTCTGGTATTTGCATCTTGGAAAGTAAACGTCATCACATTTTGGGCAATAGATCCTTACAGATCCACTGTGGGGAATATCTGATATGCCCACTGGCAAGCATGGCTGTCCCCCACAAAAGACTCGAGGACAGCGACCAAAGTCTGCTTTCTTGTACTTCTCATGCTGCACAATCAGACAATAAGCAGTATCGGCACAACCATTTCATATCTTTATAGAAATAGGTAGCAAAATAAAGTTTACCATTGCATTTAGTCCTCTGGTGGTTACAACATAACGGGCATGAATAAGACCATATAGTAACTCTGCAGCAGGTTCAATTTCACTATTTTCTTCACCATCAATGTCGCCTGGAAAACATTTTCTTGAGATTTGAAGCTAATCCATAAAGAACACAAAGAACCTCAAATTTTCAAATTGAAAAGGCAATGCACAAAGTTGTGCATACAATACAACTTCAAACAACAATGCTCTGTTTGACACATTTTATTCATGTTTTGGAGCTTTATGCATATTTCATTTTCATTTGAGAGGATCATCACATAAAGTGTGTCAAACAGGACACTTTCAGAAGATCATCAAATAGCAGGAAATGAATGTGCAGAAGAAAAGAGCAAATTTTATAAAGTCAATTTATGAACATACCACTAAACGAGTCATTGTCCAAAATCATGTCCAAGGCATTATCATAATAGGAGATCTGTGCTTGTAGCCCGCATAAGTTGAAGTCATCTTGTATGTAGTCCTCATCAACTTCACAGAGGAACTCATTACCTCGCAACCCACAGAACCAAGATATCCATGATGAAGCATCTTCATCTGAAGTACTAAGATCTGTTTCTTCAATACCAGTTTCAGATAGTTCTACATAGATGCAAAAAAGAAACAGAATTCAGTAGCTAGACAAATATTCCATGAGCAAAAGGTTACAAGAAGAAGAAAAAAAAAAAGACCTCTCGAATCAGAGTTCAATTCGACACATGGATGGTAGACATGCACATGTGAAAGAATGAGGGCAAGATGATAAGCCCAGGCATTGGCATAAGAAGAACTGCCTAGTTCAAAGGATCATACAAATTCACCACAGGCCAAGGAGATAAACTATGGCCTTCCAAGAAAGTTTAAAAGATGACCAAGCAAGCTTTTATATGAGGGTTAACAAGCTAAGAACTGATGCAAGGATATCTAGCCTGCAGAATCTAGGAACAGATTGTAACAAAGACAAAATGGGAACATAAAGATGATCAAGGGATCTAGGTCAGCATCAGCCAGAAGCAGTACTACAAAGATTCTGGGGCATTGTCAGGCTTGGCTGGTTCCCATATAGATCAACAAATTCTGGCAGTGTACTGGCTCTCACCAGCACAGCCAAGCTTTGGTGGTTTCCAGCTGGTTCCAGCAAGTCCAGCCAAATTTCAAACAGTTATTGCTGGTTCATGCCAGTGTTGATTGAGTTATGTGCACTACTAGTCTATCATGACCAATATAAGCAAACCTGAACTTCTGCAGCTGCTCTTGGGTCAATAGAGAAAATAAAGGACTTAACTAATCTGTTCCAATTCCGATACAAATTTTGTGAATATGCTAAAACAATCTTGTGAACCTTGTTCAAACAAAGCTAAAAATCTTCCAGCCACATTCCAAGGAATCCATATCATAGAGTCAATGTATATCTTAAGCAATATAGGAAGAAAAAAGAAAAAGATGAACTACTCGAGCACACCTGACGAATTTGTGATTGGTCAACAAAATCAGATTCCATCAGAACACAAAGGGATGTTTGAAGCATGCTTTCAACTGTACTATTTCAATGCCTCATTCCTTAGCTTGGTTAAGGCTTCCAAGAGCAATAGATAATAAAGCCTATCAGGTATAAAGTCATGACAAATCCCCAGATGAAACTAAAATAGGATCATAAATTATGTAACATGTTTCTTAAACCCGGTCCCTCCAAGGAAGAAGCATGAATTCAAACTTGATCTCAGCAACAAAATTGTGTAATTCTAAAATAAGACATGTCACCTGAGACAGACGAGGAGAATGAAACTCTCTCATATGATTTTCATCATTATACTTAATTTTTGAATAATTTTCTTGTTTGTATTTTGATTTATCGAAAACATAGTCTCCACAAAAGTAATCTTTTAACCTTGGGTTTCATAAGGCGACATAATATTGTCTCGTCATCACGCAACGAAACATCTATCTGAACTTTCAATGGGTCTGTTTATGGTTGATGAAGCTCCAATATGGCAATGCACTTGAGCGTGTAAGAATGGAAATTTTGTTGTTAACTAATTGGGCTGCTACATGAGCTCCATTGTGGATGAGAAATAGATATTCCATGTGTAAACACCCTAACCAAATTCCCAAAGTTGAACGAAATGGTAAGAACAAAGTTGAACAAACCCGAGTGGAATGCAGATACAAAGTTAACTATCCATTCTATCCCCTATACCAATTCCCAACCGCAACAAAAACGATGGGATAAATAGAAAAAGCCAAGAGTGCAAGACAGCGCAAAAAGCACCAACTCGCATACATATACACAGAAACCAGATACTAGGACTATCAAAATTTACCAGTGCAATTCAAGAGACGTTCTTTCCACTTTAAAAGTGTCCAAATTTGCTGCCATGAACTGAACTCCCAGCCTAAACAGCCATGCAATGCCATCAGTCTCAGATACCTTTTAACCCATCACTACACCTTTTTGAAGGACAACTCTTCAGCTATCTAGCAATCTAATTATTTCCAGAAACTAAAGAAAGAGATGAGTTAGGAACAAAAAGACCCCCCTACAAGGGAATATTACCCGAACCAAACTGAGGTTATGTTAATTTGGTTGTCTCCCTCTGTCCATTGATTGTAAATTGACAAAAGCAACTAGTATGCTGGCTCAACCTAACCATAACCCAGCAACAGCCACATATCAAAGGAACAGCAAGAAGCAAACACTCTTTCCGCAGAAGTAGTCAGAACCAAGTTAACCAACGACGTGACAGCTCCCCAAATCATACCTTTTTTTCCGAGTAATTTATTGATGCTACAGATCGTGAAAATTACCCAAATCAAAGACAAACATGATCGTACAAGAAGTAGAGAGAACGAGAACCAAGACATGGGCAGTGAGAAGCAGCAAATAAATAAAAGCAAATAAGCCCATCGTCACCTGGAGTTGGCTTGCTGTTCTTCAGCTTGGCCTCCTTGCTCGTAAGCTGCATCGAGGACGAGGCACCCTCCGGCCGCCTTTTGCTGCCGGCATTCGATAAAGCAACCATTAAAGAAGTCTTAGGGATCGGCTCGATTGCCGAGCCCGTGCTGGGGTTAGGGTTAGGGTTAGCGTTGGATCTCACGGCTCTGTCGCGAGGAGTGGAACCCGTCTTCAACATCTCCACCTTCGCCTCCGACTACTAATCTATCTTTTCAGGTCTAATAGCCCCACAAAGCCGTCGCACCGGCTTACCGTTCCGAAACCCCTAAGCAGACATATCTTTGGAAATGGAGAGAAGGAGGGGGGGCACTACCTCCCCCGCCGGAGGAGAAGAGGAGCAATCTCGATCGCCTCCTTCGGCCCCAACCCTAGCCGCGACGGACGGAAGGGGATGTGCCCTCGCTTGGGTTTTGGGCATTAGAACGAGGGACGAGGTGACATCGAAGAAACGGACGGCGGATCTTACGAGGTCACTTGATACCGACGCATGCGGGAAGTGGAAACGTGGATGATATGTGGTGGTGAATGCAACCTGTTGGCTGTCCGGAACTAATTACAGGATAAAAATAAGTATTATTGGATATTCCTTCAATTATTTCTTTTAAAGACGTCCTCAATTTTCTTTAGTCAAAATAATACTAAAACAAAAGAAATAATCCTTAAATTTTAACCATTTATTAGATCAGAGAAATCTCATGTCGTCATAATCACTTGAGGTGTTGTTGATGTCATCCGCCTCGGCGGTGAGCTTGTCGTTGCACGGCTGGGTAGAAAGCAAGCAGTTTATGCGTTCGAGGAAATGCCAATGAGAGGAATCGAGCATTATTTGATCGACTCACAACACAGTAAACCAAGGTTTTTGCAAGGAGGGCAGGACATCCATCATAACTCCTTTGTCTCTTTCGCCAAAAGCCTGCGAGAAATTTCTAGGTAAATATTTATATATATATCTTTCCCTAGATCAGTGTAAAATGATCAAACACATCCTAACATTCTGATGTTTGACATGGATATAACTGGTTTTTTCCGAAGATATTGATAGATTTAGAAGCAGGACAGCGTCTAATTGGCTAATTAAAACATGGATTGCGGAGCATACCATTTCATCATCCTGTTGTCTTCTTCTCTGTCTTTGTACAGGGAGATGCTCTGCAGGGCCCCATGAATCTGCACCACTAAATATCCTCAGCTGAGCCATCGGACAACCACAGCGGCGGAGCTGCCATCGATGAGCTGGTTCATTCATTTCTTTGCCGTTTTGGGCTCGGACAGGGACACCCGACATGGAACGCGAAGATTCACAGAACACTGTCTTCGCATTGCCAACGCACAAGCTCATAAAGTAGCGCTGCTCTCTTGGAACATGAGCCATGTGATGTGGACGGAAGTCCCGAGCATCAAATCGACATGATGCTACGGCCCGGCGACCACTGATCTCCGACCCTTTTTCACGTTCCGTCACGCATCAACCGAGGGCCTTCGGTCTCTGCATCCTTTTCTGGCTTCTTCTTTCTCTATCAGTGTAACAATTCTGTTCTCTGACTCCGTAGCTGCAGAATGCCTTTCCTCGGCAGGAGATGATAGACCGCGGGGAGGAAGCAGGCGCGAGGGTGGCATCAATGTGCTTGTGTCAGGCAAGTGGAAGCAGTTCTCGGCGGTGGACTTGATCTCTAACATGCCGACTCGCACATGGTGGATTCGGCTCTTCTTAGTTGGAAGACAGAGACTCTGCCTTGGGTCAACCCTGGATTTGCAAGTGCCACCGCGTAAACAAGCATCACATGCGTCGTTAATGGCAGTAAACGGAATTCCTGGGGCTTACAAAGGTGCACTACCTTTTGTCTTCTCATCGGTGGATAGTTTACGATCAATCACGGAGGGAAGAGGCCAAAGCTCCAAGTGCTGCACCCAGTTGGGCAATGGAGACGGCATGTGCTCCATGACAGCGTACTGCCCCTGTCTCATTGACCGAGCTAAAGGACACAGCCCAAAAAGACAAATGCTTTCGAGGGCACGCAGGGCGATGGAGACTGCAGCTGTTGGGGTGACAGAGAGGAAGGCGAAGGCCTCGCGAGCACTCAATGCTCCCCTGCTTCGCTCGGCACCGCGACAGTCTTCAGGTGCATTCTCGAGGGATAGGGCGGTCCGAGAGCTACATGCAGCAGCAGTACGAGTCCATCGTGACACTATTTCACCAAAATATTACACCGTACAGCCTCACAACATTTGCATGGGAAACCGAGAGAAGAGAAAGATCGTAATTATTAGGCTGTGGAAGCCAGAACAAATCGATGAACACCGCTTAATTGGCTGAACAGAGGTGTGTGGTTTGCTAACTTCCGACGGCAAGAGATGATGGATTAGCAGCGAGTTTGTGACCTTTCCTGCTGCTGCTACCACCGTCACTAACCATTTTGTTGCTGCCATTGATGGAGGAGATGACGTTGGTGGCTGGCGCTGCAGAGGCAGCAGCATTGTTGATGGCGTTAAGGGATTTAGAATAAGGCTTGAACGCCCTCATTGGGCTCGCCAAGGCCCACCCCCAGCTCCGCGTCCGGCCTCCTCCTTGAGCGGCGGCGGCGGTGGGCCTGGTGGCCGCCGGGATCCTACTGCTGTCGTCGAAGCCGTCGTCGGCCGTGGCCGCCGAGAGCCAGTAGAAGGACGACATCATCCCAAAACCACCGAAGAGCCCTCCACAACTGACCCGCTCCCTCACCGTCGGACGCAGCTGCTCCCCCTCGTTGTCGTGATGTTCCAGGTTGAGGACGGCCTTGGGCTTCGCCTCGCGATGGGACTCGACTCTCCGGAGAGTACAGTCGCCGAACCCGGTGGAGATGCGCTCCAGGAAGTCCCCCGAGAAGCTCCTGCTGCCGCAGCCCACCGATCTGGACCGGGCCACCTTCCTACCGAACGAGGACGACGACTGGCTGCCGCACGGGCTCTCCGCCTCATCCACGCCGTTCACGCCTTGCATAGGGCCGGCGGTGCATGGGTCGTCTTGCTGCTTCTGCTGCTTGTCGCTGACGTCCCTGTCGCCTCTTCCAACCGATGAGGATGAGGTGGATCTCCGCCTGTTGACGTTGCTGCTGCTACTGCTGTTGTCGTTGGTGATCGAAGAAGCGGTGTGTGTGGAAGAGGCGGACGAGAGGTAGAGAAACGACCAGAAGCTCTTCTTCCGTGGGCTATCCGCCACCGCTGACTCCCGAATGCCGCCACCACCCTGCACGAGGCCTCCACCCGTTCTCGGCGCCACAGACCTGCTTCGGTTCAACACGAAACCGCCGTCGTTGCGCGCCGACGCAGAAACGTCCGTGTTGCTAGTCGTGGTGGCGACGGAAGCCATCACCTTCCTTCCACCGTTCCCATAGCCGCCGCCGCCGCCGCTCTTCTTGTTCTTGCTGTGGCTGGCGGCCAGAAAGGGGAACTTGGTCCTACGTCCACCACCGGCCGAACCGGCACGTGAGTAGCCGGATGCAAATCCGACGCCTCCGCCAACGACGACGCCGGCGTCGGAGCGGAAGGAGGTGGGCGAGGACGATGAGGAGGAAGGGGCAGGCTGGAGGGAGAAGAAGGGGGTGGACTTGGAGGATGAAACCAGGTTGCCCAGCTTCTCCTGCAAGCAGAAGGCGCAGACACCTCCGGGGTTGCTACGGTAAGGGTGGTCCACGCACTGCATGTTCTCCCCCATGTCGTCCACAACTCCTACCACCGCTTTGTCCCCCATCTTCCTCCTCCTCCTCCTCCCTGCACCTCCTGTCTCTCTGTTGGATCACCCTTCTTAATTAGAGAGAGAGGAGGGGGGGTGGGGGGGGGGGGAAGGAGAGACTTTGTCGTCGTAGTCCGTACGTGCGGGCTTAACCTTTGTCTGCCGAGGTCCACCTGCAAGCCTCTTGCCACACCGAGAGAGAGAGAGAGAGAGAGAAAGAGAGAGCACCCAAGAAAGAGAGGGAGAGGACAAAGTGGGGAGGGGGGAGCGGAGAGCAGCGATAGAGAGAAAAAAACAGAGCGGAGAAGTTGCGTAGCGGGACAGATTATAAGCAAATAGTATTAGGACATGGGAAGTGGGGCCCGGAGTCGCCTTGGCACGTGGTTCCAAGATATATCCACCCAAAAAGAATGCGGAGATTTGACCACCCTACGGCGAAACAGGCGGTGGCGTTGATGCACGAACCGGTCCTCTTCCAGGCCGGACCGGGCTTCATCCGGCCCACTTTTTGTACAATACTTTATTGGCATCGAACCGATCACTTTTCGTGAGACGTACAATGCTTTATTGGCACTGCACCGATTCCTTTTGAAAGCTATGAACAATCGTGAAACGACGGTAAAAGATTATGCTCATAAGGCTCGTTGCTAAGAGTAATCTTGACGTTCGATTGATTATATACAACAAGAGGTTGAGATGGTTGACGTATCCTCACACAATCTAATTTCTTCAGTATCCAAAGCTAAAATGGCTACGTTTTGTGCATGAGACTTATGGGGGGGGGGTGTATGGGGCCATGATAAAGACGCGACGAGTCACTGTTTGCAGTGGTATGCTGTCTGTTGACCGAGCTTTTGAACGTTCGATTCGTTTCTGTGGCAGCGAGGAAGGTCAAAAGGCCTCTTGCTTTTCCTTCTTCTCGCTCCTTTCTCGGTAAAGCTAGCATTCCACAAGCCTTTCAAATGCATGAAAAGAGACAGAACAAAGGCAGTAGTACTACCCACTACAGTGAATGATGTGACACTGTCTCATGATACATCACATCTCCCCATCGACCGGAGAAGAATGAGTACAGCTAAAACTCTGCTTCATCTTCCTCCTCAGGTGACGCAGCTGAGTCCCAGACATGCCGGCCACGGACTCCTCAGGAACCTCTTCTGCACCTGCTCACAGCAAACGAGAGTTCAAAGATAGCCATGCGGCGGACAAGTTAGTGGGAGAGGAGACATCTTCGCTGCCTACCCTCTTTGGCTTCTGGTAGAGGAGCTCAGGTGGGATCTTGTACAGGTCCTCGTCCACCGCCTTGGGAGCTCTTCCGGGCCTCCTTTGGCTGCTGTCTTGTGGTGTCACGCCACACCCCTTCTCTTGCTTCCTCCGCTGCTTCTCCCCTTTCCCACCTCCCTTCTTCACCTGAAGCACTCTAAAACCACCGTGAATCAAGGGCTGTAATGGGAAGAAGAAGAAGAAGAAGAAGGCTGAGGTACCTCGCTGTGGTAGCCGACTGGTTTCACCGGGGCAGCTTCCGGCTTACAAAGCTTATCATCTCCACACAAACACTGGTCTCGGATCAACCCGGCCTGCGCTGCAGATTCGAAGTACTGGGTGATGGGAAGCTCGTCGTCGTAGTCCCAGTTCCCAAATGCCGGAATCCTCCTCCTCCTCCCCATCCTATCCTTCCAACCCAATCACACTCCGACACTAGTGTAATATATGGACTTGATTAGCATGCAGCAGTTGCTTTGACAGGAAGCCGGTCACAGTAGAAGAAGAAGAAGAAGAGAGGTAGGGAAGGGTCAGAAGGTTTGGCAAGTCTTAAGGCATAAGGTCCACGATATCCATGGCTTCGCCACACTTCCCCATGACTGCTCACGTGAAACCTTAAGCTTGGGGGTCGGGGTTATTACGCCGTCCACATGTCTGGTAGCACGCCATGGGCGACGTCGACGTCCTTTCACACGCTCATCAACCGCAGTAGATCCAATGATCGTCCACGGACTGCGATCCGAGTAACCATGTGATCCAGTAGTACTACATATCTATCTTCCACAGACTCCGCTGAGACTCGTATCGAAGTGAGAATTGCATGGTAACTTAATGACGGGGGACTGTGAGTGATTTGATCGAACGGGATGATGTGAGGTTTCATTAAGAGCGGAAATCTGCCAAGCTGACAACCCCCATTCATGGCGTATTTATGTGGGTGGGGGTGGGGGGGATCGACAAGGAATTCAGTGCTTCAATCACATTCGATACGGGAGAAGTCACGTGATGTCGGACTGTAGCTGAATCCACTTTGCATCTCTTCTCTGATATCTTTATAGAGAGAGAGAGAGAGAGAGGTAGAGAACATTTAATCCTTAAGAAACGTGTTTGGTGTACCACTAGAGTAATAATGCCTTGGAACGAGACATGTGAGGTGAGAGACAAAGCATCAAACGATAAATAACAAATGACATGGTTGACCTGCAATAGCCAAAGAGATGCTTGCTTGCTCGATACAAACAAAGTGTTCATTTACCGGGATGAAAATTTTTGGCTGAGACCAGCGAAGAACGATGTCGACAAGTTGCATTTGTACTGTTGTCAGTACACTCGGATCTCATCACCGGGGTCCGTGATTCTGTCTTTGCTCAGTATTCAACGCATCCGTCTTACCAAGTGGGAGGTCCCAATCTACACTTTGTTGTTGTGTTTGGTTGCCACTGTTCACGTGTTTTCTTTCTTACACACACACAGTTAATTTATGTCGATGGTTATCGCACCTTATTCAAATAATCATGTGTCGATGATGTGACTTTTAGGTGCCTAAATCACATCCTTAATGTTGCTATATGTCTCGCATATATGATCATGAGCTTCATGGTTTTATTAATGTTTATCTATACACATCTTAATCAATCACTGCAGTAATGTGCAGTCACCAACTATTTTTGACAAGTTGTGCAATGCCCATGGTTGACCTCATCCAAGCCCAATTAACTTAATTGGGCCTAATTTGGACTTCAACAAGCCCACATTCTTTCGATCCCCGATAAATAGAATCGATTCCTCATCCCCTAAATCTTTTCCCTCCGTAATTAATTTTATTGAAAATATATAATCAAAGTAAAATCCAATACTAATCGATCGACTCGAATTATGTTTGACCCTTTGCCGATGAATAAGGCTCTCATCGTGGTCAAGCACTCTTCGTGGCATCATAACCGGTACCAACAGAGGTCGAACCTTTTGATGGTTTGTTTATTGCATATCATCGAGCGCATGAGGACACGATAGAGAGAGGGAACACCGGAAGCGAGAAACAGCAGCAGTGTCCTTAGAGTGCGGATCATACGTCTCAAGCATGCCGCCGAACAGGCCAACTTCCCTTCTCATTGGTCGAGCGTGTGGGTCCTTCACGATCAGTTGGCTTGCCATCTGGTCTTCACTTCAGGCCCACGTGTTACTTAACTCGTGGTCGGGTTTCCCTGGTCGGTGGCCGGCCCGAGTCGACGAACCGCACTCGGAGCGGCGGCGAGGGGGCGGGGAGGCAGACGCGGGACCCACGGGACCCACCGAAGCAGGTCATGTGGCGTGGGCGCGGGTGGAGGTTTGGTCGGTGCCTCTTGTCGGGTCCCCAAATCCTCTCCGGGCCCCAGTCGGGATGCGGCCGGGCCGGTACGCTCGCTATCACGTGCCATCGCCCGACTCGCGCCAATCACGTCCGTCCATTCCCTGACGATGGGCCTCATCCGGACACCGTCGTCCGCGGCCGTCCCTCAGACGGGGCCCCACGGTGGGACCCGGCCCTTCACGACTCGAGCGGCGGGCGGAACGAGGTCGAACGGTCGTACGCACCCACAGCGCCGCGCGGGACCCGCCACGCTCGATCGCCAGGCAGGCCTCTCGACGACGCGGGCCCCGCGGGGAGCGTCCTCATCCCGGGCCACGAGAGGTAAGGGAACCAAGGGAGGGGCGCCACGTGGAAAGAAACCTCGGGCGTCGAGAAAGCCAGTATACGACGACGACGACGACGATGATGGCTTGCGTGGGTGAGCGGCTTTAAATTAAAGCACTCGGACCGACCGCCCCACTTGCGTCTCCTGCCCTAAGACAGGAGGATGCATCGTGCTCTTCCCTCGACTGCGATACCCTCACCCCCATTTCTCGATCATGTACGCTGTACACATACCTATCTATATATATATATATATATAATTATAGGATTATTGATAATATATAATACTATTTAGTTAACAAAAAGAAAGAAAGGGATTTTCTGTAAATTTATAAATAAATTTGTGTATAATAAAACCATAATGAAATTATCCATACAGTGTAATTAACTCATTCCAGGGTACATGTGAGTTTTATAATGGATATTAATGATAATTTGCGCTCACTCAAGAAAATACAGAATAATTGTTGTCATCACAATCAGAATGGGGGGGTGCGCATATCCATCGACTTGAGCTCACACTATCCCGAGGAATATACTAAACAATTGCAAAGGTGACTGCACGTCTTTCTCCTAAAAATTACTATAATAATGGACTTCCAGCCTATTCTACGTGGCTGCTTCTCTGTAAAGCTCCTCGATCTCTCATATAAATACCCTCACCTCCATCCCCACTCCTCATCCCATCCTCTTCCTCCTCCCTCTCATTCCTCCTCCGTCTGCTGCTCCTTTCTCGCCCGCTCCCATGGCTTCGGTCGAGGTGAGCCTACGTAGTCTGCGGTGATCTCTGTCTGTAAGCTGAAACGGATGAGGAGATCTGTTCTTCTTCTATACTGTAAACTACAAACTGATTGAAATATAGTGAGACTCTAAAAACAATCTATCTTGCGGATAACCCAAACATTTAGAGCACGGAAGTGGAGTCGATGAAGAGCTTATAACCATGGAGACGTTTGCTGTTATCATCTGATGCGGACGGCTCTATAATGCATGCGTGCAGGTGGAAACGACTACGGTTATCGAGGTGCCGATAGAAGCCCCCGCAGAAGCCGAAGCGCCACCAGCGCCGGCCGTCGAGGCGGTGGTCGAGACGGAAGCCGCGGCAGCACCCGTAGAAGAGCCCGAGGAAGAAGAAGCATCCCCGGCGGCGGCAGAGGCGGAGTCTCCAGCAGAAGAAGAAGTCACTCCGGAACCCGAAGAAAAGCCCGCCGAAGAGCCTGCAGCGGCTGAGCCCGAACCAGCAGCGGCCGAGCCCACCGAAGCAGCTCAGCCGGAGGCCGAGCCGGAGGCGGCGGCAGCTCCAGCCGCGGAGGATGCCGCTGAACCCACCGTCGAAGATCCCAAGCCTGTGGAAGATCCACCTGCGGCCGTGGAGGCGGAGGTGGAGGTGGAGGAGACGGCTGCGGCGGAGTAAGCACAGTGTGAAGTGGTGAATTGCCTGTGTGTGGTTTAGTCGGAGAGGGCGTTTGTTTTGAGTATGAGTATGTGTGCTGGTTTATTTTGCATCCGTTGTTTTCTCATTATCATTATCATTATCATTATATTCTATTATATTATATTATATACTGGTTTGATTTTCTACTTCTTCTTATTAGACCTTTAAAATTTCAATTTATAGGTGCCTTATTATTAAAAAAAAATTGAATATAATTATATAAATTTATTTTTATTAAATATTAAATAATGAGATACTAAATGAGTAAGCAATATGTTAAATATATGTTAACTTGTATATTCATGTCTAAAACTATATGCTTTGATTTATTTAATCAAGATTTTTTTTTATATTGATGGAAATCACTCATGCAATACAAATTCAGGTCGAAAATGTGGAAAACATTATTCACGTATGTCATATTGAAAAAGCGCCATAAAACAAAATGAATCTAGAATTGATAATTGACATGATAAAATTATGTTTATTTATGTAAATATAAACATAAATAAAATAATTTTTATCCGTACATTCTTTTAAGGAGATCATCTCAACTATTTGTGTCATTAGATGAAGCTATTAACACAATTTAGACTTTAATGTATGCAAGCTTGTGATTTTGGAGCATATGGAGATGAAATCTTCCTTATAATTAGATTCAGTTTACATAATATATAGACTTTACACTTGATGAGGGTAATAATGGCAATAAGATTTGGGTTGACGTCAGCTGCCCCAAATGACACCTCGCGCCTCTGCCTCTGTTAACCTGACAGCACTTTATCAACACAGATCGGAACGTCGACCGAGGCACATTAACATCCCGCTCAGGCTCGATCCTTCACGCCACGCCAACGTCGATGTCAGACGTTACTAAGAGTACGATCCTGTTCCCTGCAAGCGGGCACATCAGACAATGGTAACATTCACTATAAAAACCCTCGCGCTCCGAAGAAATGGAGTGAGGACAACCAAAAAAACTCCATGCGAATATTCACTAACTTGATCGTTGGAGGGATCGGATCGAGCTCTCCCGACCCGACCTGTGTGCAGGTGTGAAGACGGAGGCCTCCCACTAAATGCCCAGACGGGGAGCCCTCTCTCAGAGGAAACAGTGACCCATTCGCGATCGGACCACCGCAGTCGGTCTTCTGCAGTCTCAAGGGTCGTCCCAGGAAGATCCCCCATCATTCGGACCCGAACCGAGCCGCATCAGCCCCGAGGCCACGGCTTAAAGTTGTTTACACTAAATAGAGAAAAAAAAAAGTATACTAACTATTTTTATTAATTATTAATTATTTTTATTTATAGTTATTAGAATGTTGATATAAGTAATGAATTTTTTTATTTTAAATATTTTCCTCGTATCTTTTTTTTCCTTCTTCTAATGTTACTCTTTTTGGTGATATATTATCATCAATATCTTATTCTCTTTGCACACACCTAACCAGCTGAAGTATTTGATGTAGAGATCCGTCGTAACCTTGGTATGAATCACAACCTACTCATATTTGTTTTTATAAATAATATATAAGCATTAAGTCAAGAAAATAGTAAGCGATCAATTATCAACTTAGTTCCATCCAGCAGTATTAGATTGACCCATACTATAGATTATTAGATTATGTGATCATTTATAATTAGATAAAACATATAATAAAACTAAGTGAATTCTGATGACAGATATTGACCAATAGAAAAGAAGTCCATGTTATAATATAAACGTGGAGATAGAAGTCAATCTTATCTATTTCCACACATTCAAATGGCTCTCCCTAAATATTTGTCGATGTTGTAATGAGAGTTTAGGGGTTTACATAGTTCCCTCAAGCAATGAGCTTCTCGATATTCTAAACAATGGTAAAAGATATTTTCTATTACAGTATTATAGTTTTACATGTAAAATAGTGGAGATGATGATTAATCTGCTTATTTCGTGCGTTTTCCAGAACAGTAGCCATCAGTATCATTATACTGTTTTGGGTTATCGAATCAATAATGCTGCTGCAGCATTACATGTTGCGAGGAGTGATTGCTGCTTGCTGCAAGAGCTGTGGGTCGCCGAGGATGTGTTCTGTGGTTGACTGTGATCGTCATGTGAGGACTTCGTCGATCAAACACGATGATAAGAAATATATGGAGTGGAGCGAGTGATAATTTCCTCGTTGGTGTTGCCCATCAACGGAGATCCATTTCTGCCGTCGTGTTTGCCACTGGCAAAGAATAATCGTTCAGAAAGAAACATGGAATGTGTGGTCAGATCTTTAACCTCTGCTATGGCCACAAACAAAAGATAGCAGTTCTTATCGACCAGCTGCTGATGTGCCAATTCATTTGGGTGTGTCATTTTCTCAGGTTAACTCAGTTCTACTTTTCATAATCATGCTCTAAATCCATCTTAACAATCTTATCCACATCTCAAAAGCCTCACTTATTGTGTTGCACAAACAAAAAGAGTCACGGTCGATGACACAAAGTTGATTGATCGAGAGTTCTACTGCCAGTTGGTTGACACCGACACTTCACCACCAAAGATGTGGGAATTTTGCTTGGTTGCCCATGATAAGGACCTGATGTTGGATGGGATGGAGAAGATAGATAGTGCACTTCAAATGGAGTCAATTTACGTGGATTTATTTAAGCTACAAATTGCTGCATTACAGGTTTTACGGTCTCTTTTTTCTGAGAGTAAGATTGTGTACATCGATCGATCGATCGATCGTCTTCTTTTTCTCCTTCTTCTTCTTCCGTGATGGATGGGGGTGAAGAGTAGGAAGGGCCCAACTTTTCCTTGAGGTACAGGATGATGGAACAGGGCCACAGTTCAATGCCAAGCAATGGTCTGCGTCGATTGCTACCTTGTTTCTGTTACTTTTGGTCTGGTATCGGACGCAAGGTGCTGTGGATATAGATAAGGTGTTGTGCGTGGGAGGGGGCCAAACTTTGGAGAAGTGGCCACTGCTGCTGCTGCTGATATGGAATTCCACCTACACTCTGGTTGCAGAAGCTATTATCTATGGATGGAGATTTGCGAGCTTTACCTTTGCCTTCTCCATTGTTGAAGATCCGAAGGACCATCTTTCCAGCATCATGATTCAGAGCATCCGTGCAAGCAGACAAAGATGAGTCCAACAGCAGCAGCGGCAGCGAAAGAAGGAGAAAAGGGGGCATCATGAATGCAAAATGGTTTGCCGGAGAACAACATTTCACCTGCAGTGGGAAAAACTGTGAAGCTTCTCACTATTAGGTGGGTTTGGTGAATGCGGAGTCGGAAGTGGGGGGAGGGGGAAGAGGACGCCATCGACGGCAGCTTACTGCACCAGCCAAACATCGTATCGACCCCACAGTCCCGACACCCTCTCCTTCTTTGGACCATCACCGTGAGATCCACGTCCGCCGTGAATGCTCTTGAGGAGGTAACCATTACGTAGATCAAAAGCAACTAGAAATCCGGTGATGGTTGGTTCGATTGGCATCTCATCCAAGAGGAGATGCCCTGCTTTTGCCGGAATGCATCTAATCCACCGGTTTGCTGCAGTTCCATCCTTCTTCTTCCTTGGATGAACTGTAAAGCTATAAACTGAAGCAGACATCCGAACGATGACTTTTCGGCTTCGATTGATCCATGACAAACTCGAAAGAGTTTGCCAGTCTGGTCATTTCGATGCTGTTCTTATCATGACAGGATGGTCTATCTTGAATCGACACAGTAAACAACCTCAACAAGTCAGTAGTCATGGAAGAACCGGGAACGAGTAATGCTTTTACTGTTAGGTGGCCCAAGTCGCATGAGTAAGACGGAGAAGACGTAGGATTCCTCGTCGCAAACAAGAATGGGAACAACTTCATTGACTCATAAATCAATCGATAGTACTCGTCGTAGTACAAAACCACGTCATCATAATGAATTCCTCCATTACAATCTTACTTATGCTTCAAGATGAAGTCTTCACCTAAATTATGTTGCTCAGACCTACTGGTCATCCGAAGAAACTTCACGATGCTGATCCGATGTGATGTCTCGGTTATATACAGAGGCTTCTTTTCCAGGAGGAAATGAAGCGATCAGAGTTCAATCTTCATGTGACCTGCATCAGAGGATGATGATGCATCAGATCCAGCTTAATAACATGGGTTAATCAAAGATCGGTGTTCCATTGCGCTTACCAGGGTAGCTTTGTGAGGAGAATGCAGGCTTTTGGTCCCGTCCATACCCAACCTGAGCGACACTCTGCAGGTCATCCTCCCAAAATTCCCCGAGCTGAAAGAGATAACATGTTATTCGTCGCAAAGGCTCACTTTTAAGGCACTCCTCGATGTTATGGCTGCATCGTTTACCTGAGAGGAAGCAACTGTGAATCCATCCAGGGGAACCAGTTGCAGACTTTGAGACTGGTGCAAGGAGGATTCCAATGGATTTAAGGAGAACTGTGCTTCGAGGAGAGAGGTCACGATGCTCTGGCCAGGGGTTGCCTGAGGCTGGTGCACATTTGAAACTGCTGCGCTCGTCATCTCCGCCGGATAAACTGGCTGCGGCATCAGTCCGCGTGCCTGAAACATCTGAGTTCACATCCAGCAGCCAAATTAAGAAGGCAGGCATAGCTCGAGCTGATGACCTCTGACGGAAGTAGAATCAAGGAGACTCTGAAAGCTTACATCTTTTGAGAGGATACTTTCCATGTCGTCTAGCTGGGGATTCAGTGTGGCCAGCTTCATGGACAGGAACTGAAACCGGAAAATTAGAATTCAGATCCAATTCCAGATTACAAGTTATGCATAGCTAAATCCAAGTACGACGTCGATACCTCGACTTGCCGCTGCAACGACTGCACGTAATTTATGATCTCATCAAGCATTACAGCTTTGCCGGTCACCTACAGTTCATACAGTTGTTAGGATCGATCACTCGAACCGGGGCTTCATGATCTGAGGCCTCCGAAACTAACGAAAAAGTGACAAGGTTATACCTTGTTGCAACCAGGCACAAGATCTTGCAGGAACTTCATCCTCTTACTGATCTTTTCTCTTCTAACCTGGTGGAATGAGGCAGTCATGAAATCAAAAATTGGAAATTCTGAAGCTAATAGCAGTACATGCCGATGAACTGTGACCGATCGTTCTTCCTACCCTCTCGGCAAGGCTATGAGCATCGGTGGCTTGTCCTCTTCTCGCCCTTACGTGGATATAGTCCTTCGGAGGCTCCGGTGGCTGTTTCCGGCCAGGATCTCCATTCTGCTCAGTCTTCATCTTACCATTTGCTTCGGCCGGTTTCGATCTCTTTGCATCGGAGTTCTCCTCCTCTGTCATCTGCATTTAGCAAAATTTTCAAGCTTTACAATCCTGGAAGACGGAATTATCACAAACATTGCCGAAAGCAGCAGCGTGGAGAGACATTTTATCATACAGTAAACGGGTCGGTGGCAGCATAAGATAAAGATGCCTCCTTTCCTTTCCCTTTTGCAGCTGCCTTCCTTTTCCTGGCATTGCTGTCCGTGACGCCTCGCAAGGACGACACCGATGACTCCTCCTGCCCGTTGCCGGGCTCCGAATCCGCCGGCGTCGAAGATCCACCGAGCTTAGACATCATCTCCATCTCCATTCGGGCAGGGCCCAGCATCCCTGCATCGCTCCCTTTCTCCGGAGCTCCCATGCCAGATCCAGTGCCCGTCTTCAGAGACTTGCTACTCGAAACCCTCGAAAGATTGGCAGGGATCACCGGGAGCCCGAACTGGCCCGGGAAACCCGCGGAGCTCCCGCCTCCATAGTTAGACAGCATCGCGGCCCCATCCGCGAACCACGGTTCGGCGGCGAACGGCACGGAATGGGCCCCCGGCATTGGATTTATCGGCATCGGGAGCGCTCCTCTGCCGTTGAGCTTTGGAGGGGAATTCAGAGGCGAGCTGTAACAAGAATTGCTGGCGCCACGGCGCCGAGAACTCGGAGAGATTTCGCCAGAGTTGCAGATGCTCCCAGTCTGGCCGACGACGGCGGAGCTGAGGGCCGACTCGAAACCAGCGTCGCAGCTCATCGGCTGGTTCCAATTGAGGTTGAGGAGGCGCTGCGGCAGCAGGGCAGCGGCGGCAGTGCCGGAATTCAACTCCGGCGGCACCTTGGCGTCGGTGGACTGCCAGTTTAGGCCCCAGAACGCCTCCTTTTCCATTTCCGGATGGTACAATCGAGCCGAAAAGCTCATCAAAACAATAAAAGATGGGTTTTTAAGAGAATTGAGCAGCCTAAAAGGTGTTTGGAGAGAGAGAGAGGAGCAAAGTTAAAGGTCGAGAAGAGGAGGAGAGGGGAAGAAGACAGGATGGGCGAGTGGTGGTGATGACGAGATATTTTAGCTTTCTCGATCCCTTATTGTTGGTCTCGACACCAAAGAATCGATGAAGTCGAAGAAAGAGGTGAGGATAAGAGGAGAATATATATCGAAAGAGGACTCCCATCGTGCGAAAATGATTATTTTTCGCTTAGCGTTTTAATTTTAATTTTTTTTCGCATAATATATTTTTTTTTTTTATAAATAATTATTTTATCTTTAATTTTTACCGGACTCATTTACGACTCTCGCATGAGGAAAGAGGGGGCAAGAGGGTCAACGAGATTTACGGAGGTGGCGATAACTCTCATGCCTCTTCATCACGTGATGGCTCGTGGGTGAGACGAAGGTGACTGACTCATCGTGGGGCATTCATGCATGATAGATAGAGTAAGCTCGAGTTTAGGATTGTGAGCAATGACGACAGTTCTCACACGAGAGTTGTGATGCAGGATGGAGACGACAATATTCGATGAAGGCAGGAGTAAAATGATCTTTTCATGTAACTTGGAGTGTTCTATAACAAAATTTCAAAGTTAAAACATTTCATGGGAATTTTTTTTTTAAATTCACCTATTCCTCTTAATTTATACTTTTTTTTTGTTGTGTCTCATCAAAATTTTAGTTTTTAAAAAATTATTATTTAGGCTAGCAATAAAATTAGCAAATAATTAAAACTATAATGACCATGATCACCAACAATGACTTGGGTAAAAAAAGAATGATTTGTTTGGCAATTATATCTGCCACATAATAGCATTCTTATCCTTAAGTGACGGAAGTCAAAACATTTTATAAATAAATATTTTTATTTTTATTTAAAAAAAATGACTACTTTAGGAGACGACAGACAAGTCATAAAATATCCAAAACTTTAATTTCCTGATTTGAACATGAAAAGTAGATTCCAATGGGAACACAAATGACATTCCCGTCAACAATTCTTGTGATGCACATTGAGATTTGTTGGCAAGTGATTGCCATGAAGAACCATCAAATATATATATATATATATATATATTGTTTTGATTGAAAAGAAATTTACCCTTGTCTTTTCCTACAACTCTGTTCTTGAAACAATTCCATCACAATGCACTTGATATGATGGGTTGATTCCCAAATCTCAATCAATTCTCCTCCCAACTTAATCCTACATATACATACATAATTATAATTATAGCTGCATTGGGTTAGAGCTTGCAATCATTGGGGTTCCAAGTAAAGGGTGTAATAATTATTGACCATTTGCTACTTCCAAGGAGTGTTTTGGGGCATCAAAGAGCACAAAAGAATGATAGCTTTGACCACTAAATGCCTATGCCCCTCTTGTTCATGCTTTCACAAGATAGAGAGAGAGAGAAGACTGACAAAAGGGACATTGCATCTTACAAGGACAAATCCACTGTGTAATGATACCAATTGATTAGAGAAGAAGCAAGACATAAACAAAAGTCCTCAACATCCTTTTTCTTAAAGGACACGCCCACTGAGTAAAGATAGCAATTAATCAGTAAACAAAAAAAACCATAATTAATTAAGGTCAAATGCATGGGGGGGGGAGGAAAACTCCATAAATTAGTGAAACACATTGCAAACACAGGTGCATAGCATGTGTTGTGAGAAGGTAAGGTGAAGAACATGTTCATGGCATTCCTTTGCTTAGAACAACAGTAGATAACTTGTTAGAGCATAAATGATCCAATTAATTGCTATGGTTAAATGGAATAAGATAATTAGTATTAGTGATGCAAAAAAAATAAAAAAAAAGATAGAAGATGATGATACATGAAAAATCTTACTAAAACTATAAATTGGACATGCCCATTTTGTTCTTCCTGAGGAACTACCGGTGCAGTGTTCGTTCAGTACACATTCGATAGGTTCCCGAGTGCGGTAGCGAGCTGTTCTACGACTGAATCCTCTCGTCGGGAGCCACGAGTGATCCAGGCAAAACCATTCGAGGAGGCACGAAACATGTTTATCCTTTGGGGTGGATGACGATGACGAGCACTCCCTTCTCCTCGATCGCGTGAATCCAGCTGAGGAAGGAGTCCATGTCTCTCTGCAGGTTTCTTTGATGGCATTCCTTGCTCGATCATATCATGGACAGTGTTAATGAGGCAGAGGACAAGAGTCTCTTTTGTCCTCGTTTCCGGTGAAGCCTTTTGTTGATCATGAGCTATGCACATTGCTGTCATTGCGTAGGCTCTCGATTTGATTACTGTGGCTTGTGCACAGCGTTGTTGCCATCGACTTGGGACTTCTCACTTTCTTTTGGAGCGATGCTGTGACAGAGAGAACCATCAAATCTCATTTCCTAGGGAAATATCACTAGAACAGGTTGGATACAGTAGCCACCTCATTTATCTATCTCTTCATATGAATATTTACTTGGGAAATATCTTATGTTCGATATAGATCGATATATATCTACCGATCCGATAAATCTTCGAGTCTGATACTAAAAAATAATAACCATGATATCAATCAATATCATATAGGAAGGATAAAGTAAATAAATCTGGTCAAGATCCAACATTGGTGTATCAATCTCTGATAGAACTCATTCAAAGATGCTCCACTTCAGGTGCATGTATGTGGCTCCAATAAATCCTTGTGGATGCTCTCCTGCACTGTGATGGATAACATGGACTTCAATCATTGAAATGTATAGACCCATGTGTTGTGTAGGTTTAATATCCCTGGATGATGGAGAGAGAGAGAGAGAGAGAGAGAGAGAGAGAGAGAGAGGGGCCTCAAAAGCTAAAAGGAGCCTTGATGATTAGGTCATGTTCGTAGACAACTCCTGTGGGAAGAAGTGGGAGTATCGGTGGGGTTTTCCCCCCACAGTTCCCTGTTCTGAATCAGAGGGTGCCATCGAGAACAATAATGGCAGAAAGAATCATGGTGGCTGAGGTTTTAATGATTAGGCAGTGAGTTGGTCTATATTTCTCGTGATGCTGCTGCAACATGCGTTCTCTCTCTCTCTCTCTCTCTCTCTCTCTCTCTCTCGTATTGTTTTCTGCAGGGAAGATGATATTGAAGACACAGACACTCCGTCTCCTGTCAAAGGCATTCAGGATTGGCCCGAGAAGTGATAGCAATGACCAGAGCAGGGAAGTGGAAGTCTGACAAGAACACACATCCTGGCTTCCATTACCAGATAGATAGCATGGTTCGAACACTGTGAAAAGTTTGAGCACAACACATGCATGCATGTTTAAACTGCTCAGTGCATGAGGGATTCTTTTGCATGTTTTTTCTTTTATTGTTCTTGGAGATGTTGTATTGGTTACTTCGTCATAATGTTAATGTCAAATATAGTCTGATAATATTGCATGATTTTATGACCTAAATCATTAAACCAAGAGACATTCCTTGGAAACATTTATTATTTGGGCACAGATCTCAAGGCTAACAAATCCTCCAAGTAAAAGCAATGGAAAGCTTTGCTATTTTATGATGGTGATGGTGACATTATTGAGTGTAGTACACATATGTCAGCTTGCAAGGAAATATATATATATATATATATATATATATATATATATATATATAAGGATTTATTTTCTTATTTATATGTTTTATCGTGTTATATATTGATTGTAGACTCATGCATTAGATTTCATTTCATCGAAGTTTCTAATTCGTAGTAAATTTTTTTTTAAGATTCTAATGATAATTTAAGATATTATTTTGGAGACACTTAATTCTCGTAGGTTGAGGGTTTAAAATCTCATCAAATGTTTTATGTTCCTTCGCGATGCATCCAAACGACAGCTTATAAAAAATGATAATAAATAAATAATGAAAAATTTACTCGAGCATTTATGCGACGTATTGCATGACATACTGCAATGCATTAAACTACTAGAATTATCAGGAAAAAAATCATTAGCCCATGACATCATTGACTGGCTGTGCTGCTCGTCTGGAAGAAGCACCAAATAAAAATTAAGTTTGCACACCTTGAACTTTAGTATTAGCAGGTTGAAGCCAAATGTGTCTCTTTCAACCTTCTTGTATCAGTCCAAACACATCCAAATCAAGTCGTTTACATCAAAGCTTCAGGGAAGAAATCAACAGATCTTGTGCATTAAACAATGAGGATTAGCGATCCCCTCGATGACACAGCTAAATCAAAGCATGCACGTCATTCCCTCTTTTAATTCCATCTCCAGAAACAACTTCCTAAACAAGGATGAAGGTTGTTGCAGTGCTTCTCACAATCCTCTCCCTCTTCCTCAGCTCAACAAATTCAACAGGTCTTTGGCAGTACAGTGTAGTTTTAATCCTCTATTGCGCTGACCTGCTTTTGTTTGCCTAATTCAAGTGCTTCTGTAGTTCTCTTTACTGACTTGTTGTTCTTGACATCAGCTTGCACTCTGGACTTTGATGCATTCCCTTATCAACCGGTCGGGGAATGCGTTCACCCTGATGATCATGAAGTGATGGTTTGGGACAATGTGAGAACCACCCAATGCTGTCGCAGTGTCCTATACTTCTTCTCAAAAGCTCTAGCTCGTTCGGCCTCACAAGCCCAAGCAATCCTTCTCGACAAACAGCAATGGGATAACTGCACATCTCGCTTTAACATGCAATATAATCTCTCCATAGATTCATGTAAATTTGATTTGTTACATCAAGATAATGGCAGTTGTTCAAACCTCAGTCTCGCTTCCATTAGGAGTAATTATGGCCAGCAATTTGATTCTGTCATCACGAGTTGTTCACGGTTTGATGTGCCAAGTTTCATCAATCAGTGTGGTAACTGCACCTATGAGATCTCAAACATGATAGAGAAGATTGTTGAACATCTCGATGTTAAGGATAATGACACGCAGAAAGCAATTTGTAGCGTTGTCACCGTAGCAGCAATCGCTTCAAATAGGCCCAGAGATGATACTTGGACTGATGGCTACTACCGGTGCTTGGCAGCAATGGATTCAGGTAAAGTGCAGATCGTTCTCATCCTGAAAGAAATGGAAAAGGTTAGCTGATGAGTTATTGAATTCATATCAACGTTTAAGATCTTCTAGAACAACGTTGAGGACTCCATAATTTCTGTAAATCCTTGTACTAAAAACTACAATTCTCATGAACAAAAACATGGATATGATGGAAGCACTGGAAAGAACATCGTGCATGGTGTTCATAGACTTACTCATGTTGTCATTTTACTTCTTGCAATTCTTCCAAGTTCTGCTATTGATGAACTTTCTTGTTGTCTTCTCAGATAGCTGCAAACATAGCAACTGTAAGTGTTATTTGCTATGGATCCCCTACTAATACTTTAAACAGCATCTTCTGACTCAAATGGTTATGCTTACCAGATGTCGTGGAAGTGATACTCGGAACACTACTGGGTTTGATCGGATTGTTTCTTCTCATTACTTTGTTCAAGGCTAGGAAAAAGACTCATGAACACAACAAAGGTATTCTCCCTGTGCATTTGAGCTCGATGCTTACACAAGCAATCACACTAACACACATGTTTTCAAGGCACTACTACTGCACTAGGGAAAGTAGCAAGCAAATGGTCTGGTCTTTACAGATTCTCCAAAGCAGAGATTGAGAAAGCCATAAACTACAGCAGCAGCAGAATACGCCTCGGCACTGGAAGTGCAGGCCAAGTCTACCAAGGCATTCTTCCCAGCGGGCAGCTCGTTGCAATCAAGCACCTCTACAAGACTGCTATGAATGGCTCCTTCACGAGAGAAGTCGAAGGCCTCTCCAAAGTTCGTCATCCCAATCTGGTCTCCCTCCTTGGTTACTGCGATGAGAACGGGGATAAGTATCTGGTTTATGAGTACTGCTCTAATGGAAACCTGGCACACAATCTCTTAAGTAATTGACTTGCTATCTTCTCTTTCTGCAATCATGTTAAGGCATGGAAGAAACCTAAATTTTGCATACCTGTAGGAAGTGATGCTCTTCTTCCATGGGGGAAGAGGGTGAAGATCCTAAGAGACTGTTCCCTTGCGTTAAGGTTTCTCCACACTCACCCAGATGGCTGTATCGTTCACAGAGACATCAAGGTGAGAAGTTGACCCATAACTTTGTATCAGTTCATCGTCTTTCATTGATGATACATGGTTTTCAGCTCGCAAACATCCTGTTGATGGACAACATGGAGCCAAAGCTTTCGGACTTTGGGTTGGCGAGGATGGTGGGAATGAAGGAAACAAAATGCTTCACAGAGGTTAGAGGAACCATTGGCTATATGGATCCGGAGTACATGTCCCATGGAAACCTCTCCTGTGCCAGTGACATCTACAGCTTCGGTGTAGTCATATTGCAGCTTCTATCAGGGCGTAAGGTGATTGAACTGGACACAAAAGCACGAGAAACTCTGACAAGAAAGGTAGCCACCAAACGATAGTAATATCCCAGAAGTCTCAGCAAGATCTTCATGTTTGAATTCTATTGTGGTGCATGATGCAGGCCAAGGATGTCTCGGCAGGCAAACGCCCACTCGAAGATTTTGTAGATCCGCGCCTTGAAGGAGAGCTTAATTTGGAAGTTTTCAAGTCCATCTTAAATATTGCCGTTCTCTGTGTCGCCAGTTCGAGCAAAGGACGCCCTACAATTAATGATCTTGTAGGAGAGATCGAGAGAGCATACGAGAACACATCTGCCAACATGGTTGAACTTGTTCCCTTCTTCCTCCATTCATTTCATTCTGTCAACGCATTTCCTGATGATGACTTCCATTTACTTTGCAGCCTGCACAAACAAGGAGACAGAATTATGCAGCATCCATATCAGGCTCTCAATCTTCTATAGTGGTTGAGGTGTAGTTGTTTCATGAGGGAAGTATAGCTATGGGATCAGTACAAACTATGAATCCATCAGTTAATTATTAGTGCAGAACCTACTTCAGTATTAGGGATTGGTTTGGTTGTGTTGTTTCCATGGCTGATGTGTTGTGCCTTTCTGGACAGCGTGGTGTTCCTTTTTGCTGAGGTTTTTGGAGGAATCTTCTTTATGTACTAGACCTGTGTATGATCACTGCTTAAACTCTGCAATGAAAGAATATGGTAATGTTAGACAGTAGACAGAGAGTAAAAGAAGCTTATCAAATTATATGCATATGGACCATAAAAATGTAAATGAACAGTCAGTAGACACATATCTAGATGCTGCTGCTTCATTTAAGATCATTTGGAAGCAAGTGGGATTTTATTCTTTTCACTATAATTAATTACCCAAGTGGCTGACACTCACAAAAACCACATCACCAGCACTCCTACACAACTACTGGATTATAATGACCCTGTCCAACTCCCATCCGCATCTAAAACTCCTGGATGGCTAGCTCATTGACAAGTGAAATCATCACCCTTAACTCAAAAACTCTTCTGTCACCAATGCACCACTTAAAATTCAACTTAATTTTAACTGTTAAAAACCATGAAGAAATCAGAACATTAAACGAGCCCATCCTATTCTTTCACTGGATGAGCTGACTAATATAATACAATTAACATATCACTATTAGAAGCACCGCTTTATATAACATTCTAGCAGTTCACCTCTGTAAATGCAACACACAAAAGAAATTAAAATCAGTGACAGAATAAACTAGAATAAAAGGAAAAGTAAAACATTCTTCTCATTTGGCACTCCCAGCACACAGTAACCAGTGACTACCTGTGCAAACTTCAGAGAAAAGGGCAAAGAAGTGTTCAATAATGGCACTCAAAGCAGCTGCATACCTGGGGATGAATAAGAAGAACCAAAGGACCTTATGGGGATGTTGCAATTGATAAAAATAGCAGCATGTAGAAGGCAAGCAGAGGCTCTTGGGTCCCTACAGCAGGTACGGAGGGCACATATCCATAAGAAAGGAGCACCAATAGTGAAGTTATTTTAGTCAAAACCAGTACCATAATCCATAAGAAAAATTAGCTATCTGAGGTTCACTCCACATGAAGAAATGGGGGCAAGAGGATTATCCTGCAAACTGCAAACTCGGAAGTTCTGCTGTTTTTCACTCACTGTTGCATATCAAGCAACAGTGAGCAAGGCGTTTCAAGCAACAATTTAAGTGTTATGTAATAGCAGATTCTCAGAATGAAAAGAAAATGTGTGAAGAGAACTAAACACCAGAAGAACCTACCATAGAGCTACTACTCTTTGTATCATAAGAACTTGGGACCATAACGGCACAAGTAAAGCCGAGCTTCAACATTATATGGTAACAGCATGACTAAAATCTCTCTCTTCCCTTAGCGATTTGCCTTGGCGACACATTCAATCTCATCCTTCTTTTTTATTGCATAACTGTCAATAGACCAGAAAATTTTAGAGATAGTTTGACCGATGTACTTGTGTCAAATCAAAACATGTAACATGCGATGACTCGATGCTACAACTAGAGACCAAGGCGTGAAGTGATTCAGCAATTGATAAGTTCATCAACCAGACATTGATTCAGCAATTGTCTTGATGTTCCTAAAGGCACTATCTCTAGCACCTGCCATGAGAAGGTATAATGCTTGATTAACTCCCCCTCAATGAAGATATATCAACTGCTTGGCGTCTTACAACACCAGCAGAACCAATTCTGCTGGCATCTTCACTTGATCCACTGAGAAAGCAAGCAAACAAACAAACAAACAAACAGGTGGTATCCTTGACATCACTTACACTACTTGGCTTTGTAGATACAAGAACAGGATTGTGATTTTGCAATGCTGAAAACAGATAAGTTTTTGAGATCGATTATCTTATGCACTCATTTTGTTATATAGGATATTTTCTTGTTGATTAGCCAATCTCACAAGCTGACAAAGCATCAGACGGCTACTAACAAACTCTTACACATCGAATGTTGCCTAAAATGTTCCTATAAGAATCGACCTAATCTCCCTCAGCCGTCTCAAACATTATCCTAACCAAAAAAATCCCCAATTTATGCCAATTAAAAACTCAGAGACGCAGTTGCAGCTACCCCAAATCCGATCTTGGGAACCCATCCCCGGATTACAAGATATAGACAGTGTTGCAAAATGACAATTTGTTCCTCCCTCGTTCCTATTTTAAACGAAAGGTAAGACCTTTCATCATCTTTCCACATCACCGCAAAAGGAAGCATCAACCCTCGATAAGAAGAAGCTGAAGCCTACCTCAAGACCATCAAAGCCCCATCGATCGAAGAGCTTCACTTCGGGCAGAGCCACCGAAACCGCGGCCTTCGTAGTCATTGCTACTCGAAAACAGATGCCGGATGGGGCGGGGAATCGGAGCCGAGACGCCAAAGAGCGTCCGACAAGATCGAACCGATAACGACCGACGAAGGGGCTTTCGGGGGGGAGGCTCACAAGCGCGGGCGGAGGAAGCCTGTTTGTTGTGCCGCCGGTACCGGTTAGACGACTATTCCATGCTATCGTGTCAAGATGTGATTGGAGAAATGATTTAAAATGAATCTTGTTTCGTGCCCACTCACCAACCTGCCTCGCGATTGGAGATAGCCATAGAGCTTCAGTGGGTCCCACTTTGGGCCCCAGTCTCCGGGCCCCAGGTAGACTGACCTGCTGAGTCAAATTGGATATAATAAATAGTCAATAAAATAAGATAAATGTTACCAAAAATTCTCCACTTTATTTTTTTTTTCTTTTATTATAAGAAAAAGATTTTAAATTTTTATGATCCATAAAAAAAAAAAATGTTTTTTTTATCATGAATGAAAATCTAAATGAGAGAGAAGTCTTCCAAACTCAACCCAAAATAAAAATAGAAAATAGTGAAAGAGAGAAGAAAAAGTGTGGAAGAAATCCATTGAAGACTTTAGGTCTGTGACAAGGAAATCTATCTTCATCATAGATGGCTTTGTGTTTAGTCATTAACATAAACAAAACAAGTGGTAAGTGGCAACAAACAAACTTGTGCTGACTAATCACCTTATTAGCAACATCACTAAATTAAAGGCACCAAAAGGTGTTCAACTAATCCATGAGATATACAACATATGGAGTGGATTGTTGGGAAGACAACTGTGATCACCTCACTCAGTTTGGATTTAAGCATCACAGTGGAGAGAGAGAGAGAGAGAGAGAGAGGTATTGAAAGAGTCAAACATGTGGATTGACTTTTCATTGGAATAGTCATTTCTTGATGATGTAACTAAATAATAACACTATGATTCGGGAGAATATAATAAGAACCATCGAAATGTTATCGTGAAAGTGTGTTGAATCGGGAGTTGACCGACCGTAAGCGTTTTTATCATGTTCATTTCGCTTTATCCTGTTTCTGATCTTTGTTGCGAAACAAAAACCGAGTGCGTAGGAAATGAATTCATTTTTGTTGTCGATGTTGGATGCTCGAACGAAGCTAAATTTGCATCATAAATGATGATAATATTATTATTATTATCATTGATTTCGCGGACGCAGAACTGCAATTTTGTATCTACTCATCAGTTATGTCGAGAAATTATTTCCATTCTTTGAGAGCAATAACCAGCAAACTTGTTTTTGTTTTCTGCAACAAGCAGAAACAGAAACGCCGGCTCCTCTCGGCCGGCCAACACCCAAGTTCCGGGAATCGCGTTTCACATGTCCTTCGCGTTTCCCCGGGGGGCGCCTACTCGGTGGGAAGACTTCAAATGCGCAGCAGCAAACTGGCGCTCGTCAATGGTATTTTATACGTCCGTCTTCACCTCCTTCCCGACGCCACCTTCTCACTCGATTCCGAATCTCTCTTCGCCTGTATCGGGTGAGGGAGGGAGGGAGGAAGCGAAGAGCGCGTGCAAGGTGGAAAGGCGGCGCCTTTGACGCTTTCCAGGATTCGCTCTCTGGTTGGAGGAATCGAAGCTTCGAATGGCGGTGAGTCAATCGACTTCCCGGGTGTCTTTGGATGTCAGATATGATTATTATCGAGAAAGTAGGAATCTTGGGCATGCTCGGTGCTATAAAAACGGAGTTCTTTTAATTCTTTTGGGTGATCTTCTGACGATTCATCGCCTGTGGTATCAGATTTTGAGAAATTCTATGAATCGGAATTAGGTTTATTTTCTTCGTTTTCCCCTTTTTTGTTTCCGGTATAAGTTATAGCGGATCTAATTGCCGGTTTAGCTCTCATCATATACGAAAATGATACTTGGAGTGGTTAAATGTGTCTGCCTTGAGCTTGAATGGGCTGATAGGATTTGAACTCGGAAGCATGTTTAAACAGTTTCTTCTCTCCTATTCTTCCTCTCTCCTGCTGTTTGCTTCCTGGATGAATGAATGGCCGTGAAGAGAGTTGAGGTGAATTTTGGGTATGTCTCGTGGTTTCAAGGTGCATGAGTTTATTTTAGGAGGAAAATTTGGCACCTTGACATTGAACTGTAGACATGAGATTTGAGCAAATGAGTGCTCTGAAATTTGAAGCAGATACTATTTCTTTATGGTCCATATATGGTTGTTTCTGAAAATTGAGAAGGGATATGGGCAAGGATTCTTCTGTTTTGACAAATTTAGAGCAAAAGAGGTGGAATATATGTAGCAATATTTGAACAATAATCACAAAGTCAACTTATGCATATTAGTTTATATTTTCACTAATCATTACCTGCTCATATTTGGACCAGAATCATTATGAGTAATATTTAATCTCAAGGGTTGATTCTGAGTGATATAAACTGCATGAGATTGATTTGCTACATACAGCCTTTGCAAATATTCAGGTGAAGATGGACAAATGAACAGAGTCATAAACTTTTATTTGTTTTTTTACCAAATACCAAAATGAAGCAGGCAAATGAAGCTAAGATAAGAGTCAGATAGAGATCATATAGACTTGAGGTATGATATAAATATGGAGAACATGTGTAGCATGATTAGCAACTTAGAGAGGAAGCAAAAGATTTTGATAATTAAAACCTTTGGTGAGGGCCTCATTTAAACTCTTTTTGATTAGTTATCATTTTCAATGAAGTAAGCTGTAGCTAGACAATCTAGCAGCGGTGATAGATGTGCTATATAAACAAGGATTAAATGATCTTTCCAAATTAAAGATGCTGGATCCTGTTATTTTTATTATTGCAAGGTAGGATGGTTTCTCAGTGTGTTAATTACTCGGGTAACCATGACGGTTAATCTCCCATTTGTTTTGATCTGATTAAGATTAATCATATTGTTTCTCTTTCTAAAGGTTCTTATATCTATCTATGGTAAAATTGACATTGTCGTATGATTTGGAAGCAACGGCAAGTTCATGTACCTGTATTCAGCAACCAGGATGATGATTCAGAGGAGGTCCTTTACAAACGACGTTCCCAAGTAGCTGTAAAGAATAGAGTTCCGAAAGTTTCTGCGAAAAACTCAGAAGCTTATGCTCATGATGGACAAGCACCAGTTAAGGTAAGTCTCAACATTGAGGCCTCTAAACCTTCAGAGGTCCCCGGTTTTCAGGAAATGAAACCAGCAAGGAAAAATGATGGTATTCGTCAAATTGCCACACCTCCTGTCCATAATCAGGACGTGGCACATAGACACACCAAAGATGCAGCTAATCCGCAACATGAGAATGAAACAAAAGATGTAAATACTTCTTCACAGGAAAAAGGGTTTTCATCGGATGGCACGACAAGAAAAATTAGAAAGAAGCGTCGAAAACAAGGCTATGGAAATTATGTATGTTCTTATCTCTTTTCCCTGGTTTTGCATGCCTATATAAGCTTTTCCATTACTTGCAAAGTATTAATTGACTTATGCTTCTTTCTGGATAATAGCCCGAGGGGGATGTTATAGTGCCACCATTTGCGGATTGGGAGATGAATCCAGAATCTGCCGAGAAGTATACTGATGTTTTCCAAGTCATAGGTGATAGTCGGAAGTCTCCTGGTACTCCCATAAAATTGTCTATCGAGTCAGGCACACACAAGAAAGATCCCAACGAATGCAAGGTGGGTCGGCTACCTCGGGTCATTCATGTAGTAGCGACTTGCATCAAGAACTGTCTTCTTCTTAAGCACTTACCACAGTTATTTTTCTCTTGTTTCAGCTGACAGGCAAACATTGTAGTCATTTGAAAGCAGTGATTTTTAAGAGGTGTGTGCTATTAACAATCAATCTAAAAGTGACCTTTTCTTGTTCCAGGGGTGTCGGTGCCTGAGCTGGATTTTCAAGTGCAAGTCTTGCTGGTGAAGAACTTGTGGAGGGCACACATGTAAATATCAACAAATAAAGCAATTAAAAAGAGGGATGTTTGCAGTGTAGATACTTTTCTCTCTTGTTTTTTTCTTCTCTTTTGAGTGTCCATGCATTTTGCTACCTTTGTAAGTATTTACATGCAATTGAACAGACTCTGTTTCTTATCTGCTCTTGCTAGGAGTCTTATGTGCCTATGAAGAAGCAAAAAGAACTATTCTGGTTCGAGTTCATTTATTTAGTCTATTCCTGTGAATATTCTTTTTTCTTTTCCTTTTTAGAGGATAGAAGTTAATCAAACCAATAATTTTCATTTTCAAGTTGTAAATTAGAAACCTATACCCAAATGGATCTGGATTTGGCTAAAATCTTGTGACAAAACCAACAAGCTTTAGGAAAGAAAATAAAACATATATTTAAAAAGCATCAAGAGACACAAATTGTAGAGCTGATATATGTATCACCACCCAAATCTTGCATTTTTCTTCTTAAATTGGAAAAGGACGATACAGTTTGAAAAAGGGAATTAAAGTACGTAACACTACAAGACTAGCTTGTTGGATTTTCTGGATTGTACATGATGATCATTGTCATTTTTATTATCAGCATATGTTTTTTTTTCCATAAGTATTACATTAAATCGTGTGCAGAACATGTTTACACAAACTTGAGCTTGAGACCTATTAATTGAGTGAATAATAAACTGTTCTCATTGTTGTTGATATTGGAGAAATTTGATCGTGTCCTTTCCTCACTTAAAGATAGCTAATTTTATGGGCCACGATGCAGTTTATTTTAGCCGAAATCAGCATCGATGACACAGGAACAATCATCGAATAAACAAGAGCATCAAGAACACAGGAACAATCACGAATATACAATAAAAAATTTATTTCCATGATTTCTAGTAGACATATTTTCATGCTTACACTTTAGATATAACAATGACCAGAACATGAAGATCTTCAACAATAAGAGTAGTTTAATTCTTGAGATCTATGACACGTTTTGGTACGCAGTGATGGATGTGCATGTTGCTTCAACTGCTAAAGCCTTGGTAGTGCGTCTACATGGATCACCAAAAGTCCGATTTGAAACAGTGATTGTACAATTATTTCTACCCTGACATGCCTGCACCAAAAATAGAAAAATACAGGAAATTATTAGTACTCAAAAAGAACAAACAAAAAACAAAAGAAAACCAGATAATGTGAACAAAAACCTCTGTCACCACAGAGAGGGAACTTGCTGCATGACATTTTCCCCCGGAAAACTTCCGGCAGCTACCACTTGGTGTTCCATAGCTCGCAAATGTGATGGCGGAGATGACGTGCCCTTCGTCGCAGCGTAAGTGCATCTCTGGTGCGACCTCATCGATCAAATTCTTGCGGTTCACAAAATCTGGATGTGACCAGGTTGAAAGAGGTGGATAGTCGGTTTCCCACACTCTTGCGCAGATTGTTACGGTGGAGTGCATCCTGAGAGAGATCTTCCAGGGGTTTCCACTTGTTTCCTCAAATATCACTAGTAGATTGTTTGAAGCCTGCAACCATTCTCTTGGAACATGGTACCTGAAAATATTATTATGGTTCTTAATGTAGTAGACCTTGTTAACAACGACATAAAATCTTCAGCAATGACATTAATTTAAGACAGCCTACTCCCACACTGGTAACAAGATCAATTTCTTGATTTGCAAACAGAAGCTGGCTGTTTTCTTTCTCCTTCTAAATGGCTATATATTCCTCTAAAGCAAGTCCCATACAAGAATATATATAATGATTACAAGGGAATATAAATTTGTTAATTATGTCAAATGTGCAGTAAGGAAAACTTAAACAGTAATTTAAATTTATCGTTTTTAAGTAGCATGTCAACATACCAACTTTGAGTGGGCAGGCCGCAGTTGGTTGTGCACTTGTTTTCATGGTATGCTCCACGATAGTCACAATAATCACGACATCCATTTTTTGGAGCTACTAGTGTCCAATATCGTCCAATTCCATGACCATTGACCCAAGCTTGGCCTTTTCCCATGCTCCCTAAGTCGAGGGCAATGGGATCGTCACCCTCAGGGGCATCAAATGTTGTCTGCATCGAGAAACCAAAGGAGCTAACTCATTTAACTTTTACTGTTAACATTTCATGCTAAGACTAGAATAAAGAGACTATAACATCGTTGTCGTGTAAATGTATCTTGTGAAATACATTCATACAAACAATATTAAAATGACCTGCTAGCCTTCTGCATGTGTTTACTGTCTAGGTCCTTATTCTGCAATCAAGTGTCATGCAGCTTACGAATTTGAATTTTGCCAGTCTTCAAGTATGTTCCAGATCAGGGATATAATGAACTTCAGAGTTGGTATAGAATCAATGATATAACCAAGTATACAAAGGCATAGAATCAATGATATAATGAAGTATACAAAGGACAATTAAGAAAACTATTACAATAAAATATGAGCATACAACACAGATATATTCTACCAACAAATATTGCAATAGGGAGATATTACTTCTAATGATGAGTTATGTTAAAATACAACAAAAACATAATATACTGGTAAGTATTGCAATATGGAGTTATAACTTCAAACTGCCAGTATTTGGTCAACAGAAAAGATTAAAATGCTGGTTGTAAACCATATAAACGAGGTTACTTAGAAGTTGAATTGTTTTTCAGCTTTTTTTTTTTAAATTGCTTACCTTGTACCATGTAAAGGATGATGGAATTGAATCTGGTTGCACGTCAATCCAATCTGCACTCTCTTGATTCTCAGGAGTATATAGTTTTGCAAGCTCTCCCTTCAGTCCTACCTATATTTTTCAGCAAAGAGAACTTGTAAACTCACTCCTAGCATCAAGAAATCAGGTAATTCTGAAGACAAGAAGCTGCAAAGCATAAGAAACTGGACTAAGTGACCAATGATTTTCATATATATATATATATATATATATATATATATATATATGTGTGTGTGTGTGTGTGTGTGTGTGTGTGTATGTATATATATATATATATATATATAGTGTGTGTGTGTGTGTATACACACACACACATACATATCATCAGATTGTAAACTTTACAAGAAAAGATGGAAAACATTATTTCCTCCATAGTCATCATTTTCAACAATTTTATGCCTGCCCTTTTTGTCCATGACTCGCAAGTGGGAAACTCATTGCAGTAGTCTTTTCAGGTTCCCTAGTCATGATTTTTTGCGTAGTCCATTAGATTTCGAAACAAGCACTAGAAAGCAAATATTCACCTAACACTTTGATGTTCACCCAACCTTTCCTACCATGCCCTTCTGGCCAAAATCTGGCATTTAAAATTCCCAAAAAATACTTTGTTAAACCTGCTAAGCATTATGATTGTAAGGCTAGCTATGCTTTATAAATCAGAATGATCAACTAAGAAAATAACTCATACAGAAGTTAATATCACTGAGATAGGGATGGATTACTGTTTATTAGTAGAAAAGAAAAAACAAAACATTTACATTTATACAGAATTAGGGACAGTTAAGAACATAAGACTTAAGGATAACACAAGGAAAAACCATTTGTATAGACATATTCAAAGAAGACACATAGATGCCCCTGTTAGAAGATGAGCGTCTACAACTAGTGGTGTAAGGTAAGGTAAAAAAAAGACCTAAAAGAACTTTATTAGAGACAATAAAAAAGATTTAATCCTCTTCATTTGACTAATGTAGGCCTCAATAGAGCTCCATGATAGGGAAAGATCTACTTTGCCAATCTCGAATAGCTGGGACCTTATGGCATATTTGTGAAGCAAACTACCAACTCAAAAAATGGTTTGTTAAAATATAAACCCAAAACAAACTCAAAAAATAATTAAAATATCCAATCAATTACTTGCTCTTTGGCCTATAATTTACAAATGCATATTAGAAAGTAAAACATTTTCAAGTTTAAAGTTGTTCCAATTGATTGTTATCCATATAAAAACTCAACCTGTCTCAGCAGCAAGTGGTGTTTCTATGGCATAATATCGTCAACCAATGAGTGGCATAGTACATGCAATTAGTAAGCACTGTGCCAATGCCATGTCAGCATAGGCATGCTAATCAGAAACGAGAAAAGGAAAACCCTACATCTTGATTAAACAATAAAAGCTGGAACATGTTGCGTACTATCGATTTATTTGGTGTCCATTGGTTTGGGTCCTAGGAACATACACCTGATTTCATGCTCACAAGAAAACATATATTGTTGAGTATTTTGACACCATATGGTTGCTAATTATGCACTGTTCTTCCATCAAATAACAACTAAAATGACAGTTTCATGAGAGAGTGAATATTCTTGTAAAAGCTTCCTCAACAAAACTAGCAAGTAACATACAGGAAATTCCCATCAATATGTTATATCAAAGCTACATAAGCACATAACAAAAGCGGCTTGTTGCAAAATAGGATATGTTATTGAGATGGTAGAAAGAATTTCATAGGAAAATATTATAACTAGCATTTTAAACTAAAGGAATAAAGCATACCTGATATGTCCACAGGGCATCAGAAAGGTCAATATCTCCATTTTTCAAGCCACTCACTTTTATTTGCCCTCTAAACCCTGCCCCATCTTTCTCAAGGAAAGCACCATAATTCTACAGTGCAATAAAAAAAATGCATAATCAGTTTGGAGTTAGGTGTGTTCTCAGGGTGATTAACAAGGATGTGAAACTCATATCAATATACATCTGACAGGAGATTGGGATATGATTTGAATTGTCAATTTTGACAGAAAGCACCATAATTGTCAATATATATATATATATATATATATACATATACACATATATACATATATACAGATATATACACATATACATATATATACACATATACACATATACACATATACATATATATATATATATATATATATATATATATATATATATATATATATATATATATATATATATATATATATAT